CCAGGTAAACCCCCAGGAAACTCTCAATGTATGCTGAGCCACCTTCACGCTACTCTCAGTCTATGCTGAGTAAACCTTCACGCTACTCTCAAGTATGCTGAGCCACCTTCACGCTACTCTCAATGTATGCTGAGCCACCTTCACGCTACTCCAGTCTATGCTGACCCAAACCTTTTCACGCTACTCTCAGTCTATGCTGAGCCACCTTCACCCTACTCTCAATGTATGCTGAGCCACCTTCACGCTACTCTCAAGTATGCTGAGCCACCTTCACGCTACTCTCAGTCTATGCTGAGCCATCTTCACCCTACTCCCCAATCTATGCGAGCCACCTTCACGCTACTCTCATCTATGTTTGAGTCACCTTCACCCTACTCTCAATGTATGCTGAGCCCACCTTCACGCTACTCTCAGTCTATGCTGAGCCACCTCACCCTACCTCAATGTATGCTAAACCACCTTCACGCACTCTCAATGTATGCTGAGCCACCTTCACGCTACCTCATCTATGCTGAGCCACCTTCACCCTACTCTCAATCTATGCTGACCACCTTCACGCTACTCTCAGTCTATGAGAGTCACCTTCACCCTACTCTCAATGTATGCTGAGTCACCTTCACGCTACTCTCAGTCTATGCTGACCACCTTCACCCTACTCTCAATGTATGCTGAGCCCCCTTTCCCACGCTAAAACTCTTCATCTATGCGAGCCACCTTCACCCAAACTCTCAATGTATGCTGAGCCACCTTCACGCTACTCTCAATGTATGCTGAGCCACCCTCAACCCTACTCTCAATCTATGCGAGCCACCTTAAACGCTACTCTCAATTTATCTGAGCCACCTTCACCCTACTCTCAATTTATGCTGAGTCCCTTCACCCTACTCTCAATTTTTTGGGGGTCACTTTAAACCCTACTCTCAATTTATGCTGAGCCACCTTCACCCTACTCTAAATCTATGCTAAAGCCACCTTCACCCTACTCTCATCTATGTTTGAGCCACCTTCACCCTATTTCAATCTATGCTGAGCCACCTTCACCCTACTCTCAGTCTATGCTGAGCCACCTTCCCCCTACTCTAAATCTATGCTGAGCCACCTTCACCTTAACTCTAAATCTATGCTGAGCCACCTTCACCCTACTCTCAATCTATGCTGAGCCCCCTTTCACCCTACTCTCAATCTATGCTGACCCACCTTCAACCCTACTTTCAATCTATGCTGAGCCACCTTCACCCTACTCTCAATCTATGCTGAGCTATCTTCACCCTACTTTCAATCTATGCTGAGCCACCTTCACCTACTTTCAATCTAGCTTAGCCACCTTCACCCTACTCTAAATCTATGCTGAGCCACCTTCACCTTACTCTCAATCTATGCTGAGCCACCTTCACCCTACTCTCAATGTATGCTGAGCCACCTTCACCTTACTCTCAATCTATGCTGACCACCTTTCACCCTACTCTCAATCTTGCTGAGCCACCTTCACCCTACTCTCAATCTATGCTGAGCCACCTTCACCCTACTTTCAATCTATCTGACCACTTCCACCCTATCTCAATCAGCTGAGCTATCTTCACCCTACTTTCAATCTATGCTGAGCCACCTTCACCCTACTTTCAATCTATGCTTAGCCACCTTCACCCTACTCTCAATCTATGCTGACCCACCTTCACCTTACTCTCAATCTATGCTGAGCCACCTTCACCCTTATCTAAATGTATGCTGAGCCACCTTCACCCTACTCTCAATCTATGCTGAGCCACCTTCACCCTACTTCAATCTATGCTGAGCCACCTTCACCCTACTTTCAATCTATTCTGAGCCACCTTCACCTCTCTCAATCCTATGCTGAGCCACCTTCACCCTACTCTCAATCATGCTGAGCCACCTTCACCTTACTCTCAATCTATGCTGAGCCACCTTCCCCCCTACTCTCAATGTATGCTGAGCCCCCCTTCACCCTACTCTCAATCTATGCTGAGCCACCTTCACCCTACTTTCAATCTATGCTAAACCACTTCACCCTACTCTCAATCTATGCTGAGCCACCTTCACCCTACTTTCAATCTATTCTGAGCCACCTTCACCCTACTCTAAATTTCTATCTGAGCCCCCTTTCACCCTACTCAAATCTATGCTGAGCCACCTTCACCTTACCCCCAATCTATGCTGAGCCACCTTCACCCTACTCTCAATGTATGCTGAGCCACCTTCACCCTACTCTCAATCTTGCTGAGCCACCTTCACCCTACTTTCAATCTATGCTGAGCCACCTTCCCCCTACTCTCAATCTATGCTAAAGCCACCTTCACCCTACTTTCAATCTATTCTGACCACCTTCACCCTACTCTCAATCTATGCTGAGCCACCTTCACCCTATTTTCAATCTATGCTGAGCCACCTTCACCCTACTATCCAGTCTATGCTGAGCCACCTTCACCCTACCCCTCAATCTATGCTGAGCCACCTTCACCCTACTCTCATCAAATGCTGACCCAAACCTTCCCCCTACTCTAATCTTTTTGCTGAGCAACCTTCACCCACCCCTCAATCTATGCTGAGCCACCTTCAACCCCTACTCCCCAATCTATGCGAGCCACCTTCACCCTACTTTCAATCTATGCTGACCCACCTTCACCCTACTCTCAGTCTATGCTGAGCCCCCTTTCACCCTACTCTCAGTCTATGCTGACCACCTTAAACGCTACTCTCTAAAACCTTAATTAACTTTAAAGATGTTGTAGCTCCGGTGTCTGCCTCCCGACTTTACTGGACCTCTGACAGTACTAATATAATTTGACATATTAAAAATTTTTCCGCTGTATCTTTTATGACGACCAACACATGTTCAGGATACAAACAGATAAACAAGAACAATCTGTAACTCCAGCGAAAGTTAAGCATTTTCAACAGGAAAAAATGATAAATTTCAGCGGATGTTTGTTAGCAATCTCTTGTTGCGTTGGGGCACATCAGTCTCCTATCACTAGACGACGTCTAGTGACAGGAGACACTACGAGACACTAGGAGGCACTAAGAGACACTAGGAGACAGAAGACACTAGACGTCTAGTGGACGGGACATCCGTCTAGTGGACGGGACATCGTCCCGTCCACTAGACGGATTTGTTATTTCTAAGACACAGCGATGATGTGCTCCTCGGTCACCGCCGCTACCTGTAAAGAGTGTATCATCAGCTTCCTGGGAACTTTAGGTGAGACTGACAGAGCACATCAGCGTAAGGGATGTGGCTGTAATATGCTGATCGCTTACTGTGTGTGTGCTGAGGTTTACATCTCTCAGCACATATATGATGAATTATACACCTTAATCCTGCTCCGTGCAGAGCAAGATTAAGGTCCTTGTAGGACCTAGGAACTTCTTCTGTTTTGTTGGCTTCTTTGTAAATGCTGTTTTGAGTGTATCGACTTCTATGGGTGATGAAAATTTTCTCTAATAAGAATAGTAGTAGTAGTAGTAGTAGTAGTAGTAGTAGTAGTAGTAGTAATAACAATAATTATTATTATTACAACAATAATAATAACCTTATTCTTATTGCTATTTTCATTTTTATTATTAGTCATTATGTGGGACGCTATCTATGCCTGAAGTAATGTGTCTCGTGGGTATGACCGGCTTATGTGCTTTGGAAAGTCTATACATGAGTGTACAAATCTTGGTGTATAGGACATCATGTGCAGTAAACATCTGCCTTGTCTTCAAAGCTCGGCTTGGGTCTAAAGAGAACAGAAGGTAAACCACTCATGCACAGACTGAAGGACTGATTGCCTCAAACTTCTCCTCATCTTCCACTTTTCTCTGTATTGGACTGAAGAAGCCACTGGCTCTCGAAGCGTTCCTAGAATATAGATACCCAAATGTTGTCACTTTTATAAATTATTTATTCACATCTAGTCTAGGTGTTGGTGTCGTGGTGTTGGTGTCGTGGTGTTGGTGTCGTGGTGCTGTGGTGTTAGTGTCTTGGTGTTGGTGTCGTGGTGTTGGTGTCTTGGTGTTGGTGTCGTGGTGTTGGTGTCTTGGTGTTGGTGTCGTGGTATTAGTGTCTTGGTGTTGGTGTCGTGGTGTTGTGTCTTGGTGATGGTGTCGTGGTGTTGGTGTCTTGGTGTTGGTGTCGTGGTGTTGGTGTCTTAGTGTTGGTGGTCCCTGGTGTTTGTGTCTTGGGGTTTTGGGGTCGTGGTGTTGGTGTCTTGGTGTTGGTGTCGTGGTGTTGGTGTCGTGGTGCTGTGGTGTTAGTGTCTTGGTGTTAGTGTCTTGGGGGTTGGTGTCGTGGTGTTAGTGTCTTGGGTTGGTGTCGTGGTTTTTGGTGTCTTGGTGATGGTGTCGTGGTGTTGGTGTCTTGGGGTTGGGGTCGGGTGTTGGTGTCTTAGTGTTGGTGTCGTGGTGTTAGTGTCTTGGTGTTGGTGTCGTGGTGTTGGTGTCTTGGTGTTGGTGTCGTGGTGTTGGTGTCGTGGTGCTGTGGTGTTAGTGTCTTGGTGTTAGTGTCTTGGTGTTGGTGTCGTGGTGTTATGTCTTGGTGGGTTTGGTGTCGTGGTGTTAGTGTCTTGGGTTTTTGGTGTCGGGTGTTGGTGTCTTGGTGTTGGTGTCGTGGTGTTGGTGTCGTTTGGGGCTGTGGTGTTAGTGTCTTGGTGTTAGTGTCTTGGTGTTGGTGTCGTGGTGTTAGTGTCGTGGTGTTGGTGTCGTGGTGTTGGTGTCGTGGTGTTGGTGTCGTGGTGTTGTGTCGTGGTGTTGTGTCGTGGTGTTGGTGTCGTGTGTTGGTGTCGTGGTGTTGGTGTCGTGGTGTTGGTGTCGTGGTGTTGGTGTCGGGTGGTGTCGTGGTGTTGGTGTCGTGGTGTTGGTGTCGTGGTGTTGGTGTCCTGGTGTGTGTCGTGGTGTTGGTGTCGTGGGTGTTGGTGTCGTGGTGTTGGTGTCGTGGTGTTGTGTCGTGGTGTTGGTGTCGTGGTGGTTTGGGTCGTGGTGTTGGTGTCGTGGTGTGGTGTCGTGGTGGTTGGTGTCGTGGTGTTGGTGTCGTGGTGTTGGTGTCGTGGTGTTGGTGTCGTGGTGTTGTGTCGTGGTGTTGGTGTCGTGGTGTGGTGTCGTGGTGTTGGTGTCGTGGTGTTGGGTTGTCGTGTGTTGGTGTCGTGTTGGTGTTGGTGTCGTGGTGTTGGTGTCGTGGTGTTGATGTCGTGTGTTGGTGTCGTGGTGTTGATGTCGTGGTTGGTGTCGTGGTGTTGTGTCGTGGTGTTGGTGTCGTGGTGTTGGTGTCGTGGTGTTGTGTCGTGGTGTTGGTGTGTGGTGTTGATGTCGTGGTGTTGGTGTGTCGTGGTGTTGGTGTCGTGGTGTGGTGTCGTGGTGTTGGTGTCGTGGTGTTGGTGTCGTGGTGTTGGTGTCGTGGTGTTGGTGTCTTGGTGTTGGTGTCGTGGTGTTGGTGTCGTGGTGTTGGTGTCGTGGTGTTGTGGTCGTGGTGTTGGGTCGTGGTGTGGTGTCTTGGTGTTGGTGTCGTGGTGTTGGTGTCGTGGTGTTGGTGTCGTGGTGTTGTCGTGGTGTTGTTCGTGGTGTTGATGTCTTGGTGTTGGTGTCTTGGTGTTGGTGTCGTGTGTTGGTGTCGTGGTGTTGGTGTCGTGTGGTTGTGTCGTGGTGTTGTGTCGTGGTGTTGGTGTCGTGGTGTTGGTGTCGTGGTGTTGGTGTCGTGGTGTTGGTGTCGTGGTGTTGGTGTCGTGGTGTTGGTGTCGTGGTGTTGGTGTCGTGGTGTTGGTGTCGTGGTGTTGGTGCATTAGAAACAGCTATTAGTGAAGTGCCTTGAATCTTCACTAATAGCTGTTTCTAATACAATTAAACAAAACAAAGGCAGCTTCACCATCTCTGAAGTCCTAGCAAGAATCCTCCTGAAAACAGTAGACCCTGCCATCACACAGTCTCTCCTGTTAATACTACACAAGCACATTACAGAGAATGAACATTGAAACAGGCCTTCTCTATCCAGCCTCCAATAGAAATATTTGACTAACCTATTTTTATGCTTCCCAAGTAATAGCTTTTATATCCTTTTACTCATGTGCAAGTTAATTGTTCTAACATATTGTATTACTACTACTACTACTACCACTCCTACTACTACTTACATCACTACTACTACTACTACTACTACTACTACTACCACGTATTGCACCTCACTCTGAGCCTATATATACCCTCTCTGTCCATGTACTGTTTGTAACAGCTTGACAAAGCTCCTGGAGAGCGAAACGTTGCCACAATAAAATGTCACATTAGTTGCACTTGTGTCCTTTTACTTTACATATTGTCGGTAATTCTACCAACTTTATTACAACCTTTTACTGTACAGCAATAAAGGAATGGAACAGACTGCCTGCACATGTCAAAGCCAGTCATAGCATGAACCAGTTTAAGAAGAGAGCTGAAAGGTACCTAATGAATGTAGCGACAGAAAGGGAGGAGAATGGCTTTTTATTTTTTTAGCTATCACACATTTTATACTCATTTTACCTTATTCCTAGTATATATCCTTTATAGTATAATAATAAGATATTATATCTTTTACAGTATAATAAGTTATTAAAAGGACCTCAATTGGTATAAGTCACTGTGACTTTCTTGGGTTATCCCAAGTTCTCTACACAAATGCTGCTATGTATGATAATCTATGTAACTGTATTTGTGTATACCTGAATAAACTTACTAGTTAAACCCGCATGGGTTGAACAGAGTACAGAGGCTTATAAAAGGAGCAAAGGCAAAGCACTATTGCTCAAAAATTGAAGAATATAAGCATAACCCCAGAAAGCTCTGGCAACAACTAAAACAGTTGGGGTATAGCCATAAGCCAGTAGATAGGTCTAACATAGTACTCACTATCGATAATGAGGTATGCCACGAAACATCTAAGGTGGCAAATTGCTTTAATTCCTACTACACATCTGTTGCATCAACACTAGTAAGTAAACTACCAGCTGCATCAAATACCTTTAACACAGACTCTGATAAGTTTCAAACATACTATACCAATAAAGGGGTAACCCCAAACAGTTTGTCAACTAGTAAGTGTATCTCATGACTTCATTCAAAAGGAACTAAGCAGGTTAAACCCAACTAAGAGCACAGGCCTGATAACATCCCGTCTAAGTTCCTAAAAGATGGTGCTTTTGAACTGTCAATCCCTATTGCTCACATAATAAATCTTATCAAACACCACTAATACCGTACCGGAGGGGTTCAAGGAGGCCAGAGTTTACTCCTATCTTCAAGAAAAATAATAGGTCTGATGTAAGCAACTATAGACCTGTTAGTATACTCAGTATAATATCTAAAATTCTGGAGAGGGCGGTGTATTCTCAAGTAGTTAAGTACCTTAATGACAACAGCATTCTCCATAGCTATCAATCGGGCTTTAGAAGATCCTACTCAACCGATACCTCCCTTATTAATCTGATGGATTACCTGAGAACTGAAATGTCAAAAGGGAACCTCGTAGGTATGGTAACCTTAGACCTGCAAAAGGCCTTCGATACTGTCAACCACAATATATTATGTAAGAAACTTCAAGCTATAGGTATAGGTTCTGTAGACTGGTATAAGTCCTACCTTAGCAACAGGAGACAAAATAGTCAAAATCAACAAAACGGAATCAGAACCCCTGCCGATAACATGTGGAGTTCCCCAAGGTAGTATTCTGGGTCCCTTACTAATTCTTATGTTATGTCAATGATATGCCTATCAGTGTCAAGTGCAAACTCCTACTGTATGCAGATGACAGTGCTCTGTTAGTGACAGGTAAAGACCCACAAGATATTGCTAATGTTTTAACACTGGAACTGGAGTCCTGCAGCAAATGGTTAGTAGACAACAAACTATCATTACACCTAGGGAAACTGAAGCCATTCTCTTTGGAACGAAACATAAACTGAGAAGGGTAAATAATTTTAATGTTCAGTGTAATGGGGAGTCCATCACTTTGGTTTCATCAGTTAAATATCTGGGAATCCCCTTTGACCCATGCATGTCAGGAGAATTGATAGGGAACAGTGTAGTAAAGAAAGCGAATGCCAGGCTGAAGTTCCTGTATAGACAAGCACAGTGTCTACCTACTGAGGCTCGCAGGACCCTATGTCTAGCCCTTATACAATGCATATGGATTACGCTTGCTCTTCTTGGTACTCTGCCTTGACAAAAAACTGAAAGATAGACTGCAAATCACCA